ATATATTCTAATCATTTACATGAATATAACTTCATGGGAAAGCGTAATGAAAATAGAGAATTCCTTACATAATTGTTTTCTACTTCTCTCTCGAACGATTAAAAATTGGAACATAAACTTACGCATTTTTCTTTCTAATCGAGATAAAGTCTGCTTAACAGTTTTTATTGCAGATTTAAGTTTAGCCAACTGATTGGTTGTGTGTGCTTTTAAGTTTTCTGCATTATTTTTATTTCTTGTTATTGACGATTTAAGTTCTGTCGACAGTTCACGTAATTTTGATTCAAACACATTGGTATATTCATCGGTAACTGGTACTGCTGTTAGTACAGCATCTGATGATGATGACTGAATCCGAATCGGTACGGTATGTATCGAGCCGACACGTGATACAACGATACTCTTGTGTACAAATTTTGTATTCTCTTGAAATGTAGCCAAATTCAATTTATAGGCATTAACTGGTTTAACTATGAATTTTTCACCTGTAAAGTCAATAAATTGACGATTATTTGTATAGAAATCGAAAGTTTTCTGTCTTAATTCTTGAAACGACTGGGCATCGTTTTGTGCTCTCGAAGCGTCATATGCTGTATGTCGATCTTGAATTGCTGCACGACGCCACGCATTGTCGTTATGCGACGATAGATCGTCACCAGTTGCTTGTGTATCTTTCCACTCATGACTGCTATCATGTGAACGATCACTGTATTTACTCAACGCATTACGCCACTCATTACTACCATAATTTGAACGGGAGTTAGAACCAGCATCGACCTTTGCGTTTGGTTGTTGATACGACACACTAGCACAGACGCCGAAATCCCTGCCATTAACACTACCACCGTGACCAGATGGACGATGAGAACACAAAACCACCGTTAAAACGGGGATGTATATGCGTGTGGAAATTCGTTGAACATACACAATTTTATTTTGATCACTGTCGTCGCCTGTTACGTCTTTTTATTTCGGTACCCATTTTGTCGTTTCTGCATACTTTCCGATTTGACGGCTAGCTTTTTTCAAAATTCCAACTAAGGACTATAGGCCCGAGGATAGGCCCCGAGGTGTCTGTTTTGTCCGAAATATATAGGACTTCTTTACTCTGTGACAGGTAACGACGACCGTGAAAAACAATGGTCAAAATAAATCTCAATCAGTTCATACGAACGTCGAAACAATGACGAGGAAATGGCGATAACGGCCCGTTAACGGGCAGTTAACTGGCTTTTAACTGCTAGTTAATGAGCCGTTCAAGTCACCGACTTGGGTGGCTCACTAAATTTTCATTTGATCTTACTTTCAGGTCTTCATTGTACTGCTGGTGTCCTATTGTCCGCTCTAGATGATGAGAGTGTCCAGACTAGGATATCACAGCCAGGGTTCAGGGATTTCTAGAAAACCTTAGTTTTCCAGATACCTCGCATGTGCAACAGCGCCTATCCTCTTCTGGATCAGCAGCGTCCTCGATTCCGTTTATTGTGGTTTGTTTTGGGCAGAACGCGGCGAGACCTCGGAATGTTTCCTCGTAAATGGTTTCGGTAATTAGCCATGTTGGAAACATCGTTTTTCTTTTGCGAGCGTAAATTACCATGCATTTGCAACTTTAAATCTGTATAGTAGTGCTCGAGACGAGCGGTTCTTACTTACATACATTGTTCTCTGACGCTGGTCGAAAGCATGGCTGTTATTTAAGATTGGATTCAGTGCTCGCTGGTCTACAACCAGACCTGTTCGCAGTGGCTGTGTATCGACCAATGCGATTAGTACTGCCTAGGCTTTTGGGCGAAAGAAGAAGCAGGAAGAAGAAGATCTATAGATCAACTACTATAAACAAGACAATCCATCACGTAAGTCCTCAATGATTGTAGTTTTCGCTTAAAGACCCCCCTCAGAAACGATGATTTTCGGTCAAAAAAATCGGTTTTGAGATAAGCACATGGAAAGAGAGTCTGAAGTATCTACCTCCAGAATTTGTATTGCTCTTGGTTACAAAAGTGGTTTTTTCGGAGATTTTGTGCAAGTTTTTTAGGAGCCTCGAAAAATCGAATCTTCAAATAATGGTGTTTTTCCTGGATATTTATGCAATTAAAATTGTTTTGAACACACAGATTTCTAGGGCAAACGTTTTTGATCAAAATAAGACCGCGCACAGCTCTTTATGGCCTTGTAACAAAAAGCTACAGGCATTTTCCTACAAGTCCTAAAATCGAGTATTTCATACAGCGTTTTCACTATATAAGAGTTACACCTGAAGTGCGTCCCAAGATTTTTAACAGCGGTTTGTCGTAGAGAGTTCATTCTTTTTTTGTTTATAAGAGGAAAAGAAACTACATAGTTTGACAGGCGCCGATTTTTAAATTAGGTTTTAGTTTTTTGTCAAACTGAGGATTTTTAGAAGACTCGGAAGGCTTTTTCGGGTTTTGTAGGTTGTTGGTTGCCTGGGAGACCAATAGAGGCTTAATTGAAAAATCGGCGCCTGTCAGACCATGTAGTTAGCCGTTTAGTTTAAAATAAAACAAACCCAAACTCTCCAGCTTGAAGTATATTAAAAAATCTTGGGACACACTTCAGGGTCAAAATGCGACATACACTTGTATGTATAATTGAAGTG